TTTTCTCAGACTCACGGCGCCTACGGGCTGAATCTGTTCTTGAACAAGCTTGAACACCACCCACCTTCAAAAAAACACACACAAACACATTCACACTCAGATGTGGCTGGATCACGAAGCAGCAGAGCCAGCAATAATGTCAGGATAATGCCGATAATGTCCGGAGACACACTCTGATGGGCTGTGGTTGGAAACTGGAACCCAGACAAATGATGTGCTGTGCTGGCTGTGTGTGTTCATGTTTCTGTGCAGCACATATTACATCCATGTGCGTTACCATGTGTGTCTTATCTGTGTGTTCTCTGGTCAGTCTCCAGCTAGACAAACAAACAGCCATATGGTCAATTAAGGCCCATCAATACCTCTGTTAACATCTTCACCAGCTGATAATTAAGAGAACAGCAGCCTGTCAGCAGCACGCTCTGCTGAGAGTCATATTAGTCCGCCTCACACACCCCACCAGCTGATTATTGTTAGAAAGCCAGAATGTGCTGTTTTTGGTAAGACCTTGCTTAAATTAAGGGTTATAAGTCATTGTTTGTGCACTGTGAGCATATTACAAAGATGCCATTACCGTCTGAAAATGGGCAGGCTATTAAAAAAAAAAAATTACTCTTTTGATGAGCTCACCAGAGAAAATCATTAAACACATTAGAAACTCAGATGAATGGAATAAATAAATGCTCCTCAAAGGGGTTGAGACAATCTCACTAAATAGCATTTTTTTTCTTTTTTAGTCTCTTGTTCTTGAGCCAATTTGGTCATGATTCAGTCCCATTGACAGTATATATAATGGACAGTGTCTTAAACTAGCATTCTATGTAATGGACAGCAAGGGGCAGCTCCATTGGCTGCAATAACACAGATACCATGTAGTTTTTTGGAGAAATAAACTGACTTTTCACCTGATTTGCTTAATTCCAGAGCAGATTGGACTTTACTCAACAAACCCTAAGTAAAACATTTAAAGAATATAAAAATCTAAAAAACAACAAACACTGACACACATATTAACACATTCCAACAGGACATAGTCTTACCGTAAAGGACTTACAAAAACATTCTTTTTAATTTTTTTAAGCTTATTAATCCTGTTCATTTTATAGCAAATAATACTGTTACCACAAAATACCACAGTATATAACAGGGGACTGACCTCAATCAAAATTATTTATTAAATATAATGTGAATGTAATTATCTGAAGAGCCCCTACATCTGAGCAGCCTGAGTGAGACATGAGTAGAGATACAAATACAACACAGACTAGTATTCCCCAAAAATATGAGTGTGTCAGTGGCTGGTGTGTTACAGCCTCATTCATTAATCCTCTGGAACTTTGTTGACAGGTACTGAAGTAAAGCTTCAATAAATGATGAAAAACTAGTCGGCTGGGAGCTTAAAAAGGCAATCAGTTGAAAGTTACTGATTACCTGCCTAAAACTGGTATTAAGAATCTGACTTCCATCAATTACGTCCAGAATAATTGGCCTTTAAATGTACAGATGATAGGATAAAAAGGGCTTGTGTAAAGTACTAATTGCATCTTGAGGCATAATGAATCCAAAATTACTGAGCCTTGTGATCAACTTTGTTAGAAAAGCATATTTCATACACACGGGGCAGGGTTGTGTTACTATGGTATCATTACTTATAACATGCATTTTAGCATCAGCATTACTAATTATTGGGCTTACAGAAGCAAATTCCGGATTTCTGAATGCATGAATGAATGCATTCCACTGATGAGCAAGAAACCTTTCAATGTTTTTTTGTTTTTTTTTACTTTATTGCATTGTTGGCTACAGTCACACCAGATGGTGTTTACCTAGGGTTTCCTTTCTACAGTGTAATTACAGATGCCAGATACAGATGTTTTATGGCTACAATCCTGCAGATGTGATATTCCTTTGGAATAAGCAAATAAATCAATTAATTTCTTAGTACACAATTCTCAAAATCTATAAACTGGGGCTCAAACACACTGAAAAATACTTTTCCATACAGCCCCATGTACTGCATCTTCTGTCTTTCCAAATCTATCATTCAATCTTTATTCCCTCCATCCTTCCATCACGGCACTTCTCTCCCATCTCCAACTCCCATGTCTTCTCTCCTTTTCCCTATCCAACTCCTCCTTCTCCCCCTCCCTTCCTTGCTAATTTTTCTCCATCTAAAGGTCTGATAATTACGGAAGCTGCTCACTACTAAGTCAAGCAGCCTCATAAAGTCCCTACATGCATACTGCAACATCACCTTTATTAGTTGCTAGCCAGTTTAATCCCTTCCAAATAGCTCCACACTGTCTGCTGGGCTTCAGTTAATATTCTGGCAGCAGCAGCAAGAGAACAAATTCTGGTAATTGAAAGGACCGTGGGGGATGGGGAACTCAAATTACAATGTACCCTACAGCAATATACCTGAGGCTATGTTTGGAATATACATTCACTTATGCCTGTATACCTGTTTGCAGGAACAATCTGCTTTCCTAAAGTCACCGTAATGATGCAGAGTGGTCACTCAGGACACATTTTAGAAACCACTTAAGGCAGGGTCCCGGGGGAAACTGTCTCAGATAAAGCAAAGAAACTAAAAAAAGTAGCAAAATGGGAATGTGAGCTGGCAAACATGCCAAGGACTCAAAATATAAGCATATCTCATTTGAGTTTGACTGCACCAAGCTGGCGCTGACATCAATACTCAGTCCACTATGTGCCGCATGCATTGTTACGCCAAGTTTCTGGAACTCTACTGGAGGGATGGACGCATTCTTCCAAAAGATATTCCTTCATTTGGTGTCTGATGATGGTGGTGGAGGTCGCTGTCTAACACACCAGTGCAAAATCTTCCATAGATGTCCAGTTGGGTTGAGATGTGGTGACTGCGAAGGCCACAGCATGTGATTCACATCATTTTCATTCTCATCAAAGCATTCAGTGACCTCTTGTACCCTATGGATGGGGGCATTGTCCACTCCCATCAGGATAGAAATGTTTAATCACAGGAAAAGGTGATCACTCAGAACAACTTTGTATCTACATCAAATAACAGCAAGTTCAAAAATAAAGCAAATAAAAGTGCAGCTGTGTCAAAATTTGTATCCAGTTCAAAATTAGAAAATAAATAAAAGTGCCACTTTGCAATCTGTTAAAAAAAGAAAAGAAGAGAAATCCATTTGGCAAGACAGGTCTATTTATCCCTGCATTAGTGGCTGCAATGAGCCTGTTATGCATTGCACAATTTCTCAAAGTGGGGTTGCAGGCTTGATACTGCCACTCTCAAGTCATGCTCAATGTTCAGACGAGATCTGTACTTTGTTTTCAGTGAAGCAACAGCTGAAAAGCCCATCTCACAGAGATATGATGTGGCAAAGTGAAGAAGAATGCACATAGCTCTCTGCTCGATGAGTGGATACTCCCTCTCTACTCCAAACCAGAATTCACTAAGAGTCTGAGCTTTAAATGTTGTGTTATTGCCCACACTAGCCTGCTACCCATCGGCGCGAAACATAGATATATACACATATATTAAATATATACACATATATCAAATATATACACATATATCTATGGGCGCCCTACTATAATATCCTTCTGACGAAATCAGAATCAACTGGGCTTGCTCAGCATTTTTATAGATGCCACAGAGCATGATTGGATGTTAATTGCTTAATTGTACCATGCAGTGGAGCTGTGTGGATGCATCTGCATTTGATATGGTTCTTCATTCATTTATTCATCTGTATTTCCACAAAACTAATACAAATATAGCTTCCCTGTCTATTGCTTTTGTTTTCATGGTTCTTTAGAGTGCCAAATGTAAGCTAGCACAGTTTGCCAGCTACCTTGACTTTGAGGTATCCTCAGCATGCTAAATACCTGGAAAAGGGTACATTTCTAAACATTCCAGTACACAAACGTACAGAAAATGAATAATACAGCAAAATTAAAATGTCATGACATATATATCATATCTGTTAATTACTGAAGCGCCTCATTTTGATACTAAATATAATCAGTGCTGCCTGCATCCACACAACAGACAGTGAGCGCACAAACAGTGTTAACAAGCTCTTAGCGGAACCGTCCACAGCTGAGTAAAATCTTTACATATACAAACAGTTGGCGGATAATTGAGCGAGTATCGGGCCCTTGTGGCCCATCTGATGCTTACCAGTCTGGCCACGTAGGCTAATAGGGCGGCCATGCAATTAGTACTGGTCTAAATGTAGCTGTAATGATTATTCCCACAGACAAAAGGGCTCTGACCGAAAACACTAACTAGCCACAGTGTTGTAATGATGATTGGACTGACGCACATTATGCTGGACAAGCTGATTCCTGACATATTCAGTACTGCAAATAGAAGCCACATTGTCAACTAACCACATCCATTAATAATGAGCTCATGGTAGCTTTTGTGGACACACAGCTGCTCGAGTGAGTGAATGTACAGACTCTAGTTGTATAGAGGCGCCCCTTAGAGAAATATAAATGAATGCAATCTAACTAGGCAGTCATCGCAGTATGAAATTAGGATGCCATTGGAGTGCAGGGGGTTCGCTTTTCATCCATAGATGAATTTGCTGATTGATTTTGTGCAATTATTTACTTTTGTTATTGCAGTGCAGACGGATAATGGCACATTTCATGTCAGTTTCAAGGTTGATTTGAGGTTGATTGATTTTGGAGGGGCTTCAGATTCCTATTAATATAGATCCCCCTTGCGCTGTTAAAAAGCCTCTGTGATGGTGTCAGCTTAATAATATTTGAACTGCCTCTGATACTGTCATTCCCGACAAGCAGCGGTGGCCACAGCGTTGACCAGCAGTGTGTATTAATCAGCTATGCAGTCACATCGCCATCTGCCAATACTGCTAAGTCGACAATAACAACCATTAATGGGTAGAATTAGCCATAGCCGAGGGCCCATCACATTTTAAAGGAAATCAATGGACAAACAAAAAGCTGGTAATTTACCACTGGATAGGTCAGTCACTTACAGTCATCCGAATCTTCCGGATAGTCTGACAGACATAAAGGACAAGCCAAATCCACAACCAGAGGAGAGTGCAGTCGTTCCACTCCTGAAAATAGAATAAAGCTCCTCATGAATTCGCTTACCAAATAAATTCTATTTACATGCAAACGCTGTGCTTTTGGTTTGTAGTATTTTTCAGTACAGCCCCAACAAGAGGCTGCTAAAGCACCGTTCATCAACAAATCCATTAAGCTATTAGTACAATCAGCATCAGTGTTACAATGAATGGTACTACTAGAACAGTCAGCACTACTGACTTGGTATCTTGGTTCATGTCAAAGGAGTATTCTAAAGGAACAGTTGGCTGTTAATTGAGCTGGCTTAAGCACAAATGGCCTATCAGAGCATTGCCAGGCAGGCCATATGTGGGCTAATTGGCCAACCATAGATAGCATGAGACCAGTGATAGAGGTGGGGAACGTTCCCACTTGCCAAACATCTCTGATCCACTGGAAACACAGGTGGGCTCATTCTGATTCCAGGCACATACTATATCAGTGCTCCCATAACCTTATCTAAATTTTTATGGAACAGTCATTTTGGGGCTGCTGTGACCAGACGCTGGACACATGCACCCAGTACTGATGTGAATAAGAATGAGAGGCTAATTAAGAGGGAGAGATTTGCATGGTTCAAGGGAACGTGACTTTCCCTCGGTAAGTTGGGCTTAAATGTATTTCTGTTTGTAAAGTGCAGGATGGGTAGGAATCACACTCCATATCCAGTGGTGGAAGGTACTATGACTAAGTATATTTACCTGAGTACAGTTTGAGGTATTGTTACATTATACTAGTAATGCACTACATTTCAGAGAGAAATATTGAATTTTTAAGCCATGACAGCGACATGGTTGTAGGGTTGGCAATGATGGTATGACAGTTGCCTGGCTGGTCCACCACTTTGGTTCCAAGAGAATTTTTTTAACTATTGGATGGATTAAAATGACATGTTGTACAGATACATTGTTTTCTGAGGATGGATCATACTGACTTTGGGGACCCCTGACCTTTCTTCTATCTCAGGGCTGCACAAAGTGGGGCCTGAGGGCTGAAGTTGGCATGTCGTAAGGTTCAATTTCTAGCAGAGAAAAAAATAAATACAATGATAATATAAATCTGTTTTATGCTGTTTTATCTTTTTGTGAGGTAAAACTTTTCTTTAAATATTTAGGATCCTCAATTATTAATTATTTTTCATAATCTGAGCATGGCGGGCCGAGCAGGAAGTCAGTCAATCAAGGGAACCATTTGCATCTTAACCATAAATAAGTGTTCGCTTTTGAACCAGGGCCTACCATTAATTTTCAGTTTTGGCCCTCCAAGGAAAAGGTTTAGGCACCTGTGCTCTAGCCCCACCAGTGTGTTGACATTTTTGGCTTTTAGTGACGTGTCTTGACAATTTGGATGGATTGCCTTAAAATCTGGTACAGATATTAATGTTTTTTGCTACCAGCTACAAACATTTACAAAATAATTGCTTTTATTTTTGACACTTTGCTGATATACAGTACTTCTGTACTTTTACTATTGAATGCAGGACTTCTACATGTAGTGAAGTATTTTTATAATATAGAATTGATGTGTTATTTGTTAAAGAAACTGAATACTACCAACACTCCCTTTTTTTATTCCTTATATTCAATGTTATATACATGATTTTTTTATTTACTGCTGGATCAAAAGTGCAGTATTCTTGCTTTGGCCTTCATATAATGGATCTGTTTTTAAATGAGCCAGACTTCATGGAATTTGGTTTCATTTGCGCTGACGAGGGTTATACCATCCCTTTTAAGGCCATTTCAAAAGGTAAGTAATGGCCGCCCAGAAGTCATTCATCTTCAATAAGTGGTGAGCAGGCAGGTGGATAAGCTACGGGCCGTCTGGCAGCTAGAGAGGCAAGTGAGTTTGTTCTAAAACTGTCATGTTTATGCTCATTCAGCGCTCGCCCACACAGCTGCTCAGCCAAATTTTAATCATACAGAAGTTTATTTACTTGACCTGTGAAATGATGTTCAATCACGGAGAAGGTTAATAACATATAATATCAACGTTTTCCTGTGCCGTGTCTTTTCATCAGCTTATATGAGCTTAATGATATAAGCATAATTGTCTTTACAGTTGTGGCAAAGAGTAAAGCATGGTAGAGTGAGTCAATCACATCAAAACTTGATTCACATAAGTGCAACTTTAAATACATGATTTTATTTATAGCCGAACTTGGTATGTAATAATTTCCCTATCAATTTCTTTAAGCAATCAAAGCACTCAGTTATGGATAGGAAAAGATAGTGGTAACACTTATACACAGTGAACATCAACTACAACATTTAAATTGCGCAGTTATATCCGGTATGGGCATAATTCCTAAGGAAAATTGACATTACAAAACCCAATTGGTGTTTCCTAGTGTATGTTAACATTAGATACAAATTTGGAAATAGGCGCAACTAGAACCTCAAAACCTTGTTTGTCCCTCAGTGACTGAATATGCTCCGACTTTTGCTAAGCTAGGCTAAACATGTCAACTAACTACCTCTGTATCGAATGCACAGATAACTGACCATCTCACCCAACTCTTGGTAAGGCAACGAAAAAAGCAAATTTCTCATAAGTTCTATGAAAATTCCAAAATAGAAATCAAAAACAAGAAGAGAGAAACAAGGCCAAGACTGCACACCACATCGGCAGTGTGGTTCTATTCAGACAACAACACAAAAGGTAGAGCGCCGACATTGACACTATCTGACTGCTCGCTATCTGATAAGGCTGCATGAACAATACCCACCTCATTAATTGCAGGTTAGGATTTTCTGAGTAGTGCAAAAATACAAGTGGATTATGGTCCGTGTAGACAAATGGAGGTGTCCCAGGGATGACACTGACATCAATGTCCTGGTGAGCCAAAATTAATGCCAGTGTGGCTCTCAATTACTAAACTAACCACTATGTGCTTTTCTAAAAAAAACCTTCACTGGTTTACCTCCACCTCATCTTAACACTGCACCAGACTCACAATACCTGCATACAAGTGAAGTTTAAAAGGTTTACCGAGCTATGGTGGGAAAGAATGTGCCCCAACAGCAAAAGTAAGAAGCAAACAAACATTGCTTCAGTTTTAAGTGGAACTGTCAGATGAGAAGTTTTTTAGTTTATTTTTTACTGAAGTCATGGCAGTTTACAACAATGACAAGAAAATTCCTTGCTCCACTGAAAAGTATGAAGATGAAAAGCAAATTTCACATGCAGTGCTCTTTTATTTAAAGTTTCTGGAAACCAGAGGTGGAAGCAGTACTCAGATACTTTGATGAGGTAAAGTGCTGCAAAGTAAAATATACTCCATTACAAGAAAAACTGGTGCAAAGTTGAAAACATTTCAACTTCAAGCAAGAAATTTAAGTCATTTATGAATATGCCAGTGAGCAGTGAGGGGTTTAGTTAGCATTAAAAAACACTCTACAGACACATTGATAAGTAGCTACACCTAAAATCTGGGCAGTTGATATTGGCTGTTTGGAGAGAATAAACAGACAGTCCAACAGTCAAATTTGTGCACAAAACAGGAGGTGAACATTTGCTTCGCAATCTGTTGGAACACTTTTAGTGGTCGGAGCTGTTAAGTGACCGGTAGCTTGCATTTTAACCGAAGCAGTGTCTGACCCCAGGTAAGTGTCAACTGCTTTGGCCAATTCACACCAATTGTACCATGGGTAAGACTGCATGGGTCTACAGATGGCATATTGTTCAACATCTTTATCCATCCTCGCTTCACAGTAATAACAGAGGGATAAATCCCAGCTCCGACAATAGTGAGTGTCTTCTATATCAAATCGTTTTTTGGGCCCAGACAGTATCTGATGTACTCTTACTAAGCGTGTGGGGCCAGACCAGTCACCATTGGTAAACATCACATTCTGCTTTCATTACATTGGTATTTTGTGAAGACATTTCTTATTTGCTTTGTTCTAGACTAGTTTCATGTGGCCAGACAAATAGATGCTCTTTTCATTTCACTCCTATGGGCCACATTACATTCGTTCTACTCTTTCTAGTTCTTTTATCATTAGGAGAAAAAGGTTTGATGTTGAATCTCTTTGTTTCCGAACACTCCATCCTCTCAAATAACCTCTGTATCTGAGGGCTTTTGATAAACAGTGCAGCATCTGCTGCATAATTCAGAGGTCCTAAAACTTCTTCTGTTCTGGACCAAAATGAAAAATGTAATCCCATCCCCTGGGTCGCATGCAGCCTCATTATTCATTGCCACTGGTGTCATATGGGAACCCCAGCAGTGGTAGGGCCGTGAAATATTGTAGGTCCCAGTACATAGTTTAAGAAAGAATAGGGTGCTATCTAGTGCATGTGTGGGCAGCATGTTCCACTTGTTTTAATTCTGTGTGGTCCGTGTCAGTCGCCAGGGTCATGCATTGTGCTATTGCTCCATTACCATAGGGAATGAGTTTGACAGGGCAGCAACGTTACGACCCTGTCATCACAGAAATATGCTCCTCATTGTAACTATATTGCTTCCGGTGGTGATGCGTAATCAAGGCCAATTGCGAGGCCATCGTCTCATCTCTTCCAGCAGGCTGCACATGTTGACACGTGTGTCACTCGGGCTTTATCCCGAGCACCTCAGCCATAATGCAATCAGCTGGTGTTTTCATGATGGGCTGGGGTAAAAAATTACAAACATGGACCGTTATCAAAGAAAATAATCTGCAGGAATTTCTCAGGGGAGCGTATGTTTCTATTTGGACCTTATTAAAACCGTGCAAATTGAATCTAGTCCGCCACTAGCAGTGGAATTTGAATGTCTGAGATTAGCATTTTGGTGAATCAATAAAAGAAGCAACTCAAGGCCTTTTACAGGGTGGATTAATCTGTATAAGATTCATCAGAGTTGGCCTCTGGGACAAAAGTAGCCCCCACGCCCCCTCTCTCGTCTGTGTTTCCTGAAAGAGAGAGACACTCTTGGCCCACAGTGAAAGAGAAGGCATGATTGAAGGCTTATTTCTCCTTCCAACATCATCAGCAAGCAACCTGCCTC